ACCAGTTTGCCAAACTGCTCAGAAAGTTAACAACTGGCTCTCCCGAAGTGGTGTGAACTGGCTGAATCCCACCACTGAGTAAAATATAAGAATTCAAAAGAACCTGTCTTGGCCGATTTCCCCCCCCCCCCCCGCCGAAGACTATGGGAAATCATGTCTTCAAGAAGAAGATAAGCACACCAGAATCCTCCAGTTCCTTAGCAGCTGAAATAGCATGGGAGTTGCATAATGTCAGAAAGTATATCATGATTAATAGCTATTGATAAACTCCCTCAATCTATTACATTCCTTTTTGAAGGGTCCAGCAAGGTAGTCACTTGCTGTCTCCACTGCTTTGAGGTATCCCATGCAAAAAAGTTACTTCCTGTGATCTGATCTGAGTCTTTCACTTCCAGAACTATTAGATGATCTTGGGTCCTTACCACATAGAGAAGAGGTCTTCCTATCCATTTTCTCTACCTCATGTCTGGTTTTATATCTCTGTCCTATGGGTCCATATTTAACCTGTCTTATTTGTCCTTTTTCAGAACTACAATTCTTGGTACTGCTGTTTTTCCAACTCGGCTGTTTGATTACAACATTGGCTTTGCACTTTTCTTTAGTAGTAATTCAGTCTTCATAAGCAGAGCTTTTTTTGAAGAGGGCAGGAAAGTATTAGGCTAGCGAGATAGTCCAGACAAGAAGCTGGATCCAATGGACTAATTCTACTTTATTGTAAGATTATATTAACAGAATTTTGCAAGTCTGAAAGTACATTTCTCCCCTGCCACCTTTACTGCACAAGTAATTAAGGAGGGTCCCTTCTGAGATGTTTGTCACTCCAACATTCCTTAACCATGGCTTAAGCTCTTATTTTACTATTCTCCTGGCTGTGAATTCTCCCCGTCTTCCAAGGTCATTCCCACAATGCAATAGGGTGATTGCCCTGGACCTCTTCCAGCATATAATTTAATATTTGAAATGATCAAATAGATCAATAGTGTTCAATCAAAGCAACAAATTGTTTCAGTTTTCCCACCCTCTTTCTCAATAGACTATTAATTTTAATACATAAAACGGAGAAGGAAATTTATTGATCTCAGATGCAGCAAGAAAGAAGGGTTTAGTATATGGAGGGAACATTCAATGAAAGAAGAAGTCAGAAGAAGACAAAAAAGAAGAGGTAGTTGCTGGTAAACAGGAGATGTGATGCCTTCAGCAGTCTTAGGGTACATATCAGGGTACATATTAATCCCCTGCCCCAAATTTTTCCAAACAAGTGCTTATCAAAAACACTGAATTTGTAACTCCTATTAATCTAACCCAGAAATTATCATGCTGGTTGATGAGAGTTGGACAGGGACCCAGTTGACGTCTGTACTTAATAATGGAGCTCATGGGGTCACTTTTGGCCAATTCTTGTTCAGTCCAGTTTCCCACATAAAACTGATCTGAGAATAAAATGAGAGGAAACACATGCATATGTCCTAACTCAAATTAGGAAAGATAAGGAGGCAAATAAAGTTGTAAATTAAAAGAAATACTGAGATAATGTAGGTTTCTCAATACCTTACCTAATCAAGAATATAATTTGGGAGATTTATTGATGCAGAAAATTGGGTCCTTGTGATAGTCAGACTCTACATTGTAGTTTTATAACTGACTTGTTTTAATGAGCCATATGAAAAGCTAGCTGGACATGGATGATAGGGTAAATACAGTTAAGAAAGTAAAAAAAAAATCACAATTACAAACTCTTTGCAGTAATTCCAGGAAAACAAAATGGGAATGGTCTAACCCTAGGAGACTTAAGCCTGATAGCTTCCTGAACTCATTTTTGAATGTCTCAAAATAACCAAATATATTTTAATGGAAAAGTTACAACAACTAGCAGATGAGTCCAGTGTTATTGGACTGAATCCTTTCTCCACTGCAATTTCACTTAAAGGACAAGTTTTAGGACTCTGTCGTTTTCTGTCTTTAAAAATGGCACATAGTGCCAAAAAAAGGTGAACCAGGGGTTGATGTCTCCAGCCCAGTGTGGAATCAAGAGCCATTTTACTCTATTTATAGAGAAAAAAGAAGGACACTCCAAGGTGTGAGTAGAATAATCTTCCCAGGGGCAAATAAAAGGTCATTTAAAATTTATGCTTCTTAAAAAAATGTCCTAGGTTGATCCCATCCTTTTGTTTTATCAGATAGTGGTATAAATTAAAGTTTTTCAACCATGGCAACTTTGAGATGTTTGAGCTTCATGACCACACATCTTAAAGTTGCTAAGATTAAGAAACACTAGTTTAAAAGAATATATCCTTCTCCATAAAAATGCCATTGGTTCTAAGAGGAACATAGCAACTGTATATTTTGTGATAGTTTTAGACAATAATCCCCCCCCCCACACACACAACAGAACTGTATAGAGGAAGATTGAGTGTTGCACAATCTTAAAGATCAACAGAGTTCAACTGATGCAGGACTTGAATACTCTATCCTTAGATCAGCTTAGTCATTCACTTTTTAGGAATAAATATATCAATAGTGTCTAAGAAGGAATTACTATTTCTTGTTAACACCTACTTTGCAGATAAATTACCCCGAGTAAGAACTATTTCATTATTAGGTGGACATTCAGTGTATTTGCACTAAATACACGGAATAAATACAGCATATTTATGGAGTAGCTTTGGGTGCCAGGTTGACTGATACACACCCAAGAAAGTCAGAACTGCCTTGCAACTGCTTGACCAAATTATATTGCTATTGTAGGCTTGCTACTGTATACTCTGTGGAAATGGGTTTTGGGGAAGGAAAATTGGAGCCTTTTCCTGACTCCTGGTTACCACAGTAGTTAATGGTATTTTTTTTAAAAGAAAAAAATTGTCTATATGCTGATTACAAAATCCTGTACCTGTTACGAAAGCTAGTGCTATTGTCCTATCATGAATGAGATGACTGGAAATAGTTGAGAGATTCCTTCAGTCTTGCTTGAAACTTCCTTTTATAGTCTGAGCAGGTATATCCCCTTTGGTAAGCGGGATACTCCTTTTTTTTCTTTACATTTTTACATGAGCCTAGCAGTCATCCAGTAACATCACCAAAAGGGGTAGAGTCAAAGATTACCTGTTTAATTGTTAATCTTAGGAGTGTAATTATTTCAAGAACAAACATTGGTGCATTAAATCCATTGGAAGCTTAATATACTTAATACAAGGAATATTGACAGAGAATGTTTAGAAAGTTGTCACAGTCGTGGGTTGATTTTCACGCAATGTCATCAGTATATTTTGGGGAAATTGTAGGCTGGGCTGATTGGACTTGGACAACTGAAAATTTCATTTCCCTTAAGCAAAGTCTTCTGCAGATGTCTGGTCTCATTTCCAAATGCTATTTGGAGATAATCTACTGACAGTCTATCTAGTGATGGCTCAGTGGCAGAAGAAATGGATTTGTTTTATGCCTATCAGAACACCCAGTTTTCCAAAATGGACTGATATTCCTCTGAAAATGTCTCCTGGAACTATATAGAAGGGATTGTAAGGGTTAGGGGTGAATAACAAATCTGAAGTATCTCACCCTGCCCAGGAATAAACCTAATACAGGTAGTCCTCAACTTATGACCACAACTGAGCCCAAAATTTATGTTGTTAAGTGAGAAATTTGTTAAGTGAGTATTATCCCATTTTATGACTTTTCTTGCCACATTTGTTGTTAAATTAGCAACATGGTTGTTAAGTGAATCTGGTTTCCCCATTGACTTTGCTTGTCAGAAGGTTGCAAAAGGGGATCACATGACCCTGGGACATTGTAACCATCATAAATGTGAATCAGTTGTCAAGCATCCAAATGTAAATCACAGTGACCATGGGCATGTTACAACGGTCATAAGTACGAAAAATGGTCATAAGTCACTTTTTTCAATGCCGTTGTAACTTTGTACGGTCACTCAACGAACTGTTGTAAATTGAGGACTACCTATACAGTCCCCTCAATCCAAGCGGTTCCAGTATCTTCCTGAGGATGAAAGATACTGGACCGCAAGCAATTGGTTACCAAGTTGACCTTAAAAGATCTGAGAGGACCACTGTGAAGAATCATCTCTTAGCTTTGAGCATTACAACATCCCTGCTAGTAGGAGGCTTCCGTGTTAATTTCCCACAGTGATCCATCCCAACTTTGCAGTGAAGGTATGTGAAGGGGACTGACGACAGCTGCTGCACATAGGGGGTTCAGGGCAGATGTTAGTGCACTGGATTTTGGGGTGCCTGAAAGAGGCTGGATACTGATAGCAAGCTTGATTTGTTGTTCCTGGGAACTTTACGTCCAGATCAAGATAGAAGCTGGGATTGCCGTCATTCTCCTATGATCTCTCTTTTTTTTTAATTTGATTTATATGCCGCCCTTCTCCGGAGACTCAGGGTGGCTTACAATGCGTTAAGCAATAGCCTTCATACTTTTGTATATTTATACAAAGTCAGCTTATTGCCCCCACAAACCGGGTCCTCATTTTACCTACCTTAGAAAGGATGGAAGGCTGAGTCAACCTTGAGCCTGGTGAGATTCCAACTTGCAGTAATTGCAGACAGCTGGTGTTAATCACAATGCTTTTAGTCTGCTGAGCCACCAGGCCCTTCCACCAGAAGACTCTGTTCTTCTGCCTTTCTTGACTGCAGTCTCAGACATCTATCTGCTGTAAGCTCTGTCTCTTGGCTGGTAGGGTTTCAGTCCCTCTTAGTTCTTGGTCCTTTCCCTCTCTGCGGGAGGCAACACCCCCATTCTTCTTCAGCTGCACTTTCACTTTCCCACAGTGTGTATCTGTAACTTGGGTTTCTCATCTTGCAGAGAGGAAATCAGATTCCTTTATTTCCCATGCCCTCCTTTCCTCCTCTTCCTTTTTTTCCTCTTCCGTTTTCCCTTTCCTTATTTTTCCTGCATTACTCCCTCCACCCACCCCACCACCCACCAGCCTGTGCGGTTGTTACCACTCACCGTGAACTAACACGCCCCCTGGTGTTTGCATGCAGTCATTGCATCCAGCAGATCCTGGAGGCTGTTCTCCATTGCCACCAAATGGGGGTCGTCCACAGAGACCTCAAGGTGAGTTTTCTTCCCCACTGCTCTGTCCGTCTGTCCGTCTTTGTATCTTTGCATGTTTTTTTTAACTTCCATAAAAAAGAAGTTGGATCACTTCTGAATGGTTCAGACTAAATTTCCTGAAAAACATGTTCCAGGGTCCTTAGATAGTTGTGCAATTTGTTTCTTGATCTTGGATTTATTAGGTCATCCCTCTGACAGACTAATCAGAAATCAGCTTAATTTAATGGCAGCTGTGTTGTATGTTTTTTCCTGTGATCTAGCCTGGCTTGGACAAATAGGGGAGATCTACTGCCTGGTGAACCTTATCATCTTAACATTCCAAGCACTGGGTGAAACCGTCATTCTAAAGGTGATTAGAATAAGTAAATCCTGTTGGGTCAGACCAAAAAAAGCTATCAAGCCCAGTATTCTATTCCTTTAGAGGTCATCTAGAAGTTAATGAGCAGGACCTCAGCACAACAGGATTGTAGGCTTTGAAGAAGACCCAGCTATGCTGACTTTATAATTCATGATAAGCTGGTTTGTTTTGCCTAGAGAGATGGGATCTATGATCTTCATGTTGCCCCACAGCATCCTTACATCAAACTGCTGATTTGGGTTGCATTGTTTTCCATCTCTTTTGCATCTGAAAACTGCAGAATTGTGTGCTTTACAGCTTACCTTCTCCCAACTCCCACCGCAGTGCATGCACATATGCACCCTGATATGCACCCACCCTCTTTTCCCATGTAACATGCATTCTAGAGCCCTAAGAGTCCAGATTAAAAAAAAAGAAAGATACCTAAACTCAGAATAAACCAGGAAACTAGGCAAAGTATGCCCCCACATTTACCAGTAAATCAAGAACATAATAATTTGCCACCTTGAGCAAAAGTAAGGCCAAAATAATCTGGATTCTACATGTTAAAGAGACAGATGATTTTGATTTTACTTTACCAAGCTGCAGAAGTATAACTGGGAAGCCAAGTTGTTTTGTTCTGAGTTTTGCAGAACTAGGAGGTTGTTAGCTTTCAGGAACATGGAAGAATTAGTTACAACAATTTCCCTTCAGTGATCAAACAACAGACTGCATCTTTTATTGAAATTCAGAGATCAAATAGAGCATGCTTGAAGGAGGATGTTTAGTAAGAATTCATTGTAAGGTACCAGGAGTGCTATATATCCAGGATACCTAAATTCTAGAGCTTGTGTGACCGTACACAACCAATGGATTGTACAAGTGCAGTTTAGACTGCCTAGCAGATTTCTTTGGACCACTTGGGCAAATCTTGGAATGCGAAAGACCTCAGAGGTATTTCTATGTTCTTGGCCACGTTGGAGCAAAACTACTCTTTGCTATCACTGCCTTGTACAAAGTTAGAACTTCAAAAGATGGTCCCCAGTGAGTCCTGGACTGCAAGACGTTTTCTTAATAGGAGAGCTACCATACTTCATGATCATTTCCTAATACAGTGGAGACCTTCCAGTTCCATCCATCCATCCTGTCATATCTTCTGTAATTGTATATCTTCCTCTCCCAGCATTGCCAAATGCTTTGGGGCTCCATGTAAGAAAGCCTTCCTTTCTGCATGCTTGCATGGCATTTTTTATCCTTGCACTTTCATGCAGTTTGGTGGATTTGAGCTGATTTCTGGGTAGCTGTTGGAGGACCAACCAGGGAGTCCATAGGGTAGGACATAGGAACAGCCAAATCCCAATATTTTTAGCAAACTTGAACTATCATTTGGTTCCCCAACTTACTTACTCCTTGCCTTCTTCCACTTTCCTTTAGCCATTCATTTTCCCACCCTTTCCAACTTTTTTTCTTCCTGTGCTTCGATGTCTGGGTCAAGACTTTAATTCACATAGTAATGTTTATAGACAGAGCAGCTGTAATCTCTTTTCTTCTAGAAGTGTGCATGCATTCTATGTCTGGTTTAAATGTGTGCAAATGATTTATTTCTGTGAGTGTTCCTGTATTGGGTTTCTGATTGTGGCACACTCCCTGTCCGGCCTCTTTATAACACTCCTTTGGGTTGAGATGTTGCTGGGGTGTTATAAAGAGATCGTATTTGATAAGTTTAATGGGTGGTTAAGGTTCAGCAATGTCTGGGTGTGTTGTAGTGGCAATAAAGGAGGGGAACCTTGACAAGACCCCCCTCTTTGTCTCTGTGTGCTGGGAATTTCTTTTTGAAAAGTTCTGTGTCTGTATCTGTTGATCTTTTATAAAAAAAGAACTGGGCTACCCCTCTCATTCCACTTCTGTGGTTATTATTTCTTGTTAAGATTTTGGAACATAAATTTGACCAGACCTTTAAGATTTAAAAAAAAGAAATAAACAAAGAAACCTGGCAAAATTGCTTAACATCTTTAACTTTCTGTTCAACATAAGCAGGGCTCAATTGTTTGAGGTGTCAAGCTAATTGGAGGGTTCATTTCTGGAGTCAAGCAAAGCATCCATGCCTCAAAATTATTTGGTCTATTTGAGCAGTTGGCTTTGCTTGCAGTGGAATTGCCTTCACAAATGCCTAATAAAATTTGTGCATAAACCTACCTAAACTCTTAACAGGCAAGATGTGCAAAAATATCTCCAGAGCCTTGGACAATGTTGCTTAAGTAGGTAAAACCTTTGCTTTCCATTCCATGGTTGAAAAGTTTTAGCTTCTGCCAAGGATTTGCCTATGGTAACATGGTTCGGTATGGAAGATGCTTGTGGTTCTTCATGGTTGCTAAAATAAAATCTCTTGAGAGATAAAATGTGATTTCACATGCATGGGATAACGAAGTGGTATTCCCTTTGCTTTCTAAATGGAGATGTGCAATTTTAAACCAGCTTCTATTATTCCAAGGCAGGGGCTTTTGTGTGTGCAGTTTTGGGATAATACAGTGCCAATGATAATCCACCTATGGTAATCTGTAAGAGTGTACAGGTAGTCCTCGCTTACTGACCGTCTTTGAGTGACTGTAGAAGGATACAACACTTGGAAAGAAAATAGCTTTGTGACCAATTGTTGCATTTACAAGTGTCACAGTTTCCCTCAGTCACATGATCACCATTTGCATGTTTCACAACTGGCTTCCAATAAGCAGAATTAATGGAGAAAGGAGAAGTGAAATCACAAGTCACATGATGTTTCGCTTAATGGCCATAGTGATTCGCTTAGCAATGGAAACGGAAGTGGCATTGTAAGGTCACTGTGGTCATGTGTTTTTTCCCCTTAGTGACCACAATGCTTAATGATGGAGTTGCCCGTCCTAATTATGGTCAGTAAATGAGGACTACCTGTAGTGACAAGAAAGGTTCCTGCATTAATAACTCACACTTGTGTACTCATACTTTATGACAAAAGGATATCCATTTAGCGTATCTATTAATATATTTACTCTGATATTTGCGACTAAACAAAGCCTTTAATGCAGATTTTGTTTCTTATGCAAATCAAAGATAAAGTATAAATGAAAATATTCATGTGGTGTTACTTTATGCAGATGTACGAGGAAATGCAGCCTAAATGGTTCAGTTCTAAATGTAGTATTTCCAGAGGACCAACTAAAATCAAGGGGACTAAATTTAGTCACAATTTTTTCATTTCCTTCAGTTTGTTCTAAAGATAACTCAATCTGGAAGCGACCCATTATCTCCTAATATCTACCGTAGTGTTCATAATAACTGGATGCTTTGAAAAATTAGTTGTGGCAAGGAAGACTTTCTCCACTATCTTTCTGAAAAATAAATTTTTAAAAGGGATTTTTTAATTTTTTTTTTATTTTCAAACTCAAGAGTTAAAATATAAAACACTTTGCACTCATGATCATCTGAAGTGTTAATACCACTCTGTAATGCCTTGGAAAGACCAAACTTGGAATGCTGCATCCAGTTTTGTCGCCATGATAAAAAAAAAGATGTTGAGACTCTAGAAAGAGCACAGAGAAGAGCAACAAAGATGATTAAGGACTGGAGGCTAAACTATACGAAGAACAGTTGTTGGAATTGGGTATGTCTACTTTAATGAAAAGGACTAGGGGAGACATGATAGCAGTGCTCCAATGTCTCAGGGGTTGCCACAAAGAAGAGGAGGTCAACCTATTCTCCAAAGGCACGACAAGAAGCAACGGATGGAAACTAATCAAAGAGAGTAGCAACCTAGTTCTAAGGAGAAATAGACAAAACAATTAATCAGTGGAATGATTTGTCTCCAGAAATTGTGGGTGCTCCATCACTGGAGGTTTTTAAGAAGAAATTGGTCTGAAATGGTATATAGGGCCATGATGGTGAACCTACAGCATGGGTTCCAGAGGTGGCACGCAGAGCCCTCTCTGTGGGCACATGCATACCGGAAACCCAAAGACCAGGTGGCTGGCGCATGCATGCGCACTGGCCAGCTGGTCTTCAAGTTTCCAGCGCTCTGGCGTATACACATGCACATGCGCATTCCAGTTTGGGCACTCGGTGCCAAAAAGGTTCACCATCACTGGTATAGGGTTTCTTGCCTGAAAGGGGGTTGGATTAGAAAACCTCCAAGGTCCCTTCCAACTCTGTTATTCATATATGAACACAGCTACTCTGCCACCCAGTGGAGTGAGATAGGCATGGTGAGATACAGAGATGGGTTTCAGCAGGTTCTGACCAGTTCTGGAGAACTGATAGCGGAAATTGTGAGTAGTTCAGAGAACTGGTAGCAAAAATTCTGACTGGCCCCGCCCCCATCTATTATCTGTTTCCTGAGTGCCAGCTGATCGGGAGAAAATGGAGATTTTATAGTATCCTTCCTTGCCATGCCCACCAAACCGCACCCACAGAACTGGTAGTAAAAAATTTTGAAACCCACACACTGGTGAGATGGGTGGCAAATTAATTTAATAAATATATAAAATTAGATAGTTTTTTGAATTCGTTGAAGAGGAATAGCAAAGAAGATAGATGTGGTGAATATCATGGAGGATCTCAGCCGTTACATTAAAGCATTTTTCCACTATGATTCTATAGAAGTTTACACAAAGGTGTAACTAAACTGAGTGAC